TATATGTTCATCAAAGTAAATATTGCTTAAATGTGTTGAGATGAGGTGTCATCCTCTAGGGAGTTTGAAAGACAAACCAGTTTTTCCTTGCAATTAAGAGAACATGGGAAGAATGTAGGTGGGGTGGTAGAAACAGAAAGGGTCAGCTTGGCCTTCCTTCCCAGTATTCCCATCACTCCACAATGTAGCTCCAAGTGTGGGGAATATGCACCGTCAATGAGAAAATTGTTTTAACTACTAGAAAATACATAACAGATTTTATTTAAATACAGAAGAAAACAAAGCTAAAATAACCTTAACCAGTACTAACAAACAAAGAACTGGCCTTGAGCTTCATTAAAAACAACTAGATTATTCATAAATGATGTTAAGCTGAAAAGCAAACTAAGACAAGAACAGAGTGGGAACACTCACTTGAGATAAACTCCTTAAAAAGCCACAGTGAATTTCAAGCCTGCATCCTCTGGGCCTTTGTCTCTGAAGGCTGCATACATGTTAGTAACTTTTTAAGAACACTATCTGTGTATGATTTCATAACAGCCTCTGGCCCCACAGCCCCCACTTGAACAAAAGCATGTGCTATATTCTTGCATGTGCAACTGACTGCTCACCTCGTCTGTTTCATTTGGTAGCACTCCTTCCAAAGCCTTCAAGAGAGGTGCCAAGTGCAAGTTAACATGAGCTAAGAGCCCTACCAAACCTGCTCCACTGGCAATGAAGAAATCCTGACAGCCAAATGCTTATTTGTTATGCTCTGATGTCAAGGACTGTCAGCATAAATAGTAAATGTTAATGCTGAAAGTTTTTATTTGGCATTTATTTCTAAACAATGCCATTTCAAATTCCACTCTCACTGGTATGGTCTGAGGCTAGGTCAGAGGGACTGACCTCAACTGTGGAACATATGTAGGGTAGTGCTCGGTGAGTCAGGAAGCACCACGGCCAGCAACCAGCACTACTGGAACACAGAAATCACTGCAGGAGTAGTGATGTAAAACCAAGGCCTGGGGTAACAGCAAGGGAAGAATCTCTTCTCACACCCAGGATGGCAAGACACCAAAGTGCTTCGTTATAACTCACCTGACTGTATGGAATTAATCAAAGTAGTGGCATTACACTGATATATAAAAGTTCGTTAATGAAGAATTCCTCTTTCATGTTATAAATTATTAAATCCCTTGAAAACTTTTAAAAAAAATTTAACATCTAGGCTGTATAATCTACAGTTGTACAAAAAAGGAGAAAGTAAGCATTTTCCAGCTGGCTCTAATTAAAACAAACAAACAAATAACAACTCTAAGAAGAAAAAATTAAATCCATTCAAAAACCATATATGCTGCTGGGTTTCATTTGTCTGTCTCTTGGAGGGGTGGTTATGGTTTATTTGTTCGCTCGCCTGTTTATTTTTTGAGACAGGGTCTCACTATGTAGTCCTGGCTAGTCTGGTACCCACTATGTGGACCAGGCGAGCTTTAAATTTATAGAGATCCACCTGCCTCTGCCTCCTGAGTGCTGGAATTAAAGGCATGTACTACCAGCTGTGTGCTGAAGTTTTTAAAGAGCATCAGCTATAGAATGCTTTAGAACCTTGCACTTCCTGCTGAGAACAGCTCCACCACCCAGAATCTTCTCCTGCCTAGGGGTGCTAGGATAAGGCTAAGGTGACACTACCTGTGCTTTCATGGGCAGGGAGTGTATAGGTAAGACATAAGCAACTTTGCTAAACAGGTGACAGGATTCTGAAGCTATTCAGACAGCCAAAATAGAGCCCTAACACTGCAATGGCATGACTCCACACAAACCTAACATCTGATATCTATCTGATGTGCATGTCAAGGACTAAAGAAAGGACTCCCCAACTGTCCTGTTTTTCAGCTCAGCTCGGTCACCCATTGTTGACTGCCTGCCTACCCACCTGTTCACCTGTCTGGAGAGGACCTAAACTCACTGTTTCATTCTTTCAGATCCCAGTCAAGCCTTTCACCTTGTACCTGAAACAGCTTCTCTCTCAGGCTCCAGCAGTTCCAGCAGCAGCTCCCTCCAGGCATTGGTTTGGTTTGTTATCTTACCAATACAGACTCTTTCTCAGCCTACTTCTAAAATCTTTTCAACTCTGCCTCACCATCTTTATTAACCTGTATTCACTCTGTAAACCATTTATATGCATAGAGATATATGGACATACTTGCTGTGTGATGTGTGATATGGGGGTCAATATCAGTAATTAAGATTAGAATAAAAGAACCTGCATTTACCTCAACCCAGTTACCAAGGTAGGGAGAATTATATGACAAATTGCTGTCACTGAAGCCGCTAAGCCTTGTGAATTTATTGCTATTCAATATATTCTGACACGTGGAAAGACACAAATGTGTTCATCTGTGTTTCTGGCATCGTGTGCCACTACATTAAGTCTCCAGATCACTGTAATTACAGGCACAGGCCACAACGCCCAGACTAAAGTAGTCTAGTTCCTTCGTTTACTATAGGCTAGCTCTTTACCTAGGTATTATGATGTCTCTCCTGACTGAATCCATGGCTCCATGTCTGACTAGAATGATGCAGA